GGGTGTCCGAAATGTATAACAAGTACACTTGAGAGAATAACATGTTGAGCTTGTCTTGTCTAATAAGAGCATTTTAGTCATTTTAGCCCTCGTATTTATGAGTTTGCGCAAAGTCTGTGACCGTAACTTTGTTTATTTCCTGCAGCCACTAAATGTTCCCTCTTCTGATCAGAAACAAGCACCACATTGTCTAATCGCATTCTTAACTAATTGTGGCACTTCTTTCCTTCTTCCTCGCTTATCAGACAGTGTAGCCTGCTTCTACTTCTCGCTCCAAACTCACCTAATTCCTAAGGTAATACTGGAGCTGAAAAGAAATCATTTCAAAAGACACTCTTTGAATACGTTGACAAGCAGTCTGAACATTTTGTCCTCTCTAGAGCTCTTATCAAAAATTAAACGCTCAATACAAGAACTGAAGTCAAACTGTCAAGTTTGTTTCTCAGTGCGTGCGTGGAGAGGAGATTTAACGCAAGTGTTTATGAACCGCGGACAGAAACCAAAAGTTTGTGTTCTTGTTTTTGGTGCGCTTTCCTGCTTGTACAGAACTCATTTTAGCATTTACAACTTGAAGCCTTTGAAGCTGTTCTGGGTTGCCGACCGAGACTCCAAGACACTAAAGCTTTCTAAAGTTCATTTCTCTTTTATCTTACGTGTATCCTTTAAGGATAGATGTAAGACTTGTACCAAAAAAGATAGTTCCTGTTAATGTAGGATTCCTTTTTCCTAACCAAAAAAGGTAACCTTACAATATTTTAGGGCTCACATGTACAACAACGGTTTGCCTTACCATTCATCTTAGTGCTTGCTGCACTATAAAGCTGAAATAAATTATCCGACAGCGTACCACAACGGTATTTAAAATGTTGGGTCTAAATGGGGTGTGGAAAATCATATACGTTTATTTTGGTCTGAAGTAAAGGGGAACCTTAGCGAACTGGCTGTCACTCCCCCTTGGTACCCCTCCACAATCTAAAATTTCAAGGAAGCAAAGAATGATTTACTAATTTGTACTTAAATAACATTATTTTTAACTCTAGGGGAAGCTTAAATCAACAAAAATGGCCAACTCTGCCTCAAGGTGTGGTTTGGTTAAATTTCTATTTTCATAGCATTTAATTTACATCGATTTGATAAGCAGACTGGATTTAACTAACTTGGAAGGTAATTAAAAATAGCTGGACTCATAAGGGATACTAGTGAAGAGTACTCCAGCAGATGAAAATGAGTCAAAAACGAAAGATATTTCGAGATAACTTCGTGCCAGAGTAAAAAAACACGAAACGAGGAAATGGCACAACAAAACGGAATAGGATAGTAAAGAAATGGGAAAGCTTGGGACAGACATCTCAGAGGATGTTCCACCATTATCTTACGTTTCAATTAGCTCTTAGACTTTTAAGTTTCTCTCTCTTTCGCTATTCCCAGCTCCAAGCGATACTATTCGCTCGGAAGAGATTATTTGGTTAGAGCGCCAACCAAGAAAAGATTCAAGAAATCCCATTCTGGGTTCTGTGGAGGCGGCTGCAATTAACGGATGTAATAACCAAGTTATTACCACAGGTAAATAACGCTTTTATAATTCGTAGCCATGCGGTTGATACTGGGTAACGGCGCAATGAGCTATGGTCGATAACGCCAAGAGCGCGGGAAAAAAGTAGCGCGAGGGCATTGGAGATGAGGGCACTGGAGTTTTCTTGTCTCCAGCTTTCCCACTGCCATTTGTTCTCAGGTTTTCTGCCTCTCGACCCACGAGAGAATACAAAGACTAGCAAATCCACTGTCGTATTTGCTGTGCCTCACTTTGTTTTTTTCTTGTCGTGCAAGTGAGTCTAAATCTTTCCTCGTTTATTTTCTGGTAGATTCTCGTAAAATTTCAGACGTCACGGACACCATTTCTCGACCGCCTGATACGCCTTTATATCAGGTGTTGGAAGGACCCTACGGAATGGGCACGATTATGGACCGAGCATTGTCCGGTCAGAACGAGCAGTCGTCCGAGCGCTTCCGATCTGATTCCGATTATGACGAGCCTGTGTTGAAAGAGGAGCGCGCAGCGATTGGTTCGCCTTCAAAAGGGCGGAAAAAGGAAGCTGTTTACGAAGACGCGCATCTTAAGAGATTCACAGACGCTGCCGGCAGTAGTGATACCTTAGACAACAACGATGAGTATTGTTATAGTTACACAACTGACCTACCTTTAAAAGATGAAAAAAGCAGACCACACGAGGATCCCAAAACAAACGGCCCTTTATACCACTCCTTGGAGGGCCCTAATGCTGGGTACCAGGCCCTTGAGGGCAAACCGGCTCCGACGAACGGTTACACGCCCATGGAGGGCGTAACAGAACTGAGTGGTTACCAGCCCCTTCAGAAACCAACACGGTCAGTCTATCAGCCACTCAGAAAGACAACTACTGAAACTCCTCGAAGGGCGTTCACAAGAAAATAAAGTCACTCTGTTTTATCTTTGTTACTTTTTTTGAAATTAAAATTATCTGCTCCCTTAGAGGAGCGAGTGAATGTATACTGCTTTGCTTTAAAAAAAAGCTTTAATTTGGTGGTCGGAAATGACGTCATGGTAAGGCTTCGAGATCCGGAAATGACGTCACGTTTGTGTTTTTATCCACTCTTTCTATATTTCAGTAATGTGGTTTATTTTCCTTGGAAATCTAGCGTGTGAATTTCAAGCACTCTATGAAGAGCTGAATTTTGAATGTAGAATTTCCTTGAGAATTTTAGCTGTAAGCTGTACGTAATTTTTGGACTTAAATATATCGAGCTATAATTGTAATAAAATTGTATGTGACAGTTCTTTTGAACTGTCATATACAAGAACTGTAAGAACCTTAATCTTAGAAAACATTATACTTGTAACAGTCGATCAATCTTTGCAATGCACAATCTATATAAACAATGTGGCGTTCAGTTGTGACTGAAGTAAACAATTCCCAGTCCCCGGACAATTTTGAATCCCTACACTAAATTAATGACTTGAAATTCCTTACATAGTTTAAGCTCGAAATTCTTTGGTTTTTTATGTATACCAGAACAGCGACTACAATAACGCGAAGAAAAAAATTGGCATCGTTGCAAACAATCATAGTTCGGGGTCTTTATTAAATATATTTAAATTCTCTCCGGGATAATATAATTGCATTTATTACTAACTTAGTGCAATTTCTGTATTTGATGAATTTCCTTACTTTCCAACAACGAAGCTAAACTTGTATAAAAATGTCCTGGACACTACAATTTGATATTTTTGTCTCAAAGTATTCAAGTGTTACCTGTAGAAATAACTGATTTAGGGTAAGTTTTCCATAAGTAATCGCGAACGGCTTGCACGGCCGGGTTGTTCCAAGCCCGATTTAGCTAATACAAAATTGGCGAGAATTTTTATTTCAGTTTACTGACTTTTCGGTGCGGTTTTCTGTTTATATTGTTTGTTCTTCTAGTTTGAGATTGTATAATCTCAAGCTACAGAAAAATAAGCATTGAAAAACATTTTAATACAGGAAAAATTAATATTTCGGTTAACTTTTAATCCTGGGTTAGCGTTAACCGGCTTTAGAACAACCCGACCCTGCGAATATCAACCTCATACTTGTCTGTTTCAAAGTTCGCCGACGTTTGTTTGTTCAACAACCTGGAAAAAATGTGCAAAAATAAAGCATTTTTTGCTGACCAATACTCTTCTTTTAGCGTTGTTGAAATGTAAACAGGAAATTTTTCTACTTGGGAATAAAAAGAAACATTGAAAAGAAATACGACGAACAATAAATGACGCAATTGGATTGAAGTGAGGGACAACATTTGTTTGTTCCAAATCGTGAAAAAACGTATAATAATAAAACATATTTTACTGGCCAATACTCTTCTCTATGTTCATCAGTGAATTATTTAACGTTGCTGAAATGTAAACATTAAATATTTTTAATTCTGAATGAAAAGACACTTTACAAGGAATGTGACGAACAATAACGTTTCAATTGATTGAATTGAATCGAAGGGAAATTTAACGTATGATAAAAAAGAATCGAACGGAGAATACCAGCAATGGTGCATTCTTGAAATTCTCATAAACTAATTGCCCGCTGGTTATAAATTATTTTATTCTCGGCGGGGAATATTTTTGTAGGATCATTTCTTGATCAAATCGTTATGCCCCCTGAAAGTTCCCACTTGAACAAACGAGAGGCGCAAAGGAAATTACTTACAAAAGGCAATATATGCTATCAAGTATATCGTCCTGATATTTGATGACCAGTGTTCACAACTTTCTATTTGTGTAAAATTGTTACAAGATCATTTTATTGAAAAGGCATTATAGAGTTCGAAACTTCGCACGCAGGAAAAACCCTGTTTAAGTTAATTGTTTACTGACTTAAACTGGGTTACTTTTTTCAGTAAGTAAAACCAGATATTAGTTTCCTATTTGATCGAGGACGATGCAAACTACCTTTTTTGCCATTTGCTTTTTGCTAATGGTAAAACGAAGCAAAGAATCCTTTGCCAAAATTGTGATCAAGAGACCATCCCTTCAGGCTATGAACGATGGAGTAGTAGATGGCTTTCGGGTTAGAGCTAATGGTGGAATGAATTTTGGAAGCAAGGAATTTGAATGCGAAGATTTCAATGCTGTGATTCCGAGAGGAATAAACTCAAGTTCCAGACTTCATTGCGAATGTAAAAGTGAAGCTTCAACATTTGGCTTTTTTGATGAAAAGTGGCAATGTGTGGATAACGGAGAACTTCGCCAAAGTGAAGGTAGGTATCGAAACATCTTCAAAGTTTATGGGACATATACTCTAAAACTTGTGCGTTAAGGTTTTTGTTTGCTTTCTAACCGACAGTTTCCGCTTAATAATTAAATTTACTTTAACTCCTAAAAGTGATAAAAATCTTAATTCCTTCTACAATATCAATACAGGATTAAGTAAACAGGTGTCAAGAATTAAGAAATCAACAACTGTGCGTGGCAATGGTGTTGATGCAACGACACCATATATATTCTCAGTTTGATCAAACATAACAGGGATTTGTGTAATGGAGAATGAAAGATTGAAACTTGGACTAAACTTTGATTCAAAGTTTTACATATGTACATAAAAAAGTTTTGACACTGACATATGATTGCATAACGCGCAATTCATAGAACAAACTGATGTAAGTATCTTAGAGGAATTATTTAATTTACGCCACAGCCGACTGTGTTACTGAATAACTAGAGATATCACCTTTAGATCCAAATCGAAACATGGAGATTTCACCGTTGTTAAGTTCTTATACCCAAAATATGATTATTTCACGTTGACGTTTCAGTGAAAAATTGGCTTAGAAATGTATCAAAGTGTGTCACGCACGTGCATTTCGAGATGTACGCACTATACTGATTGTCTGCATGCTGTTTTCCCAGAGGGTAGTCCAAGAAAAATCAGTGGGGTGTGCGGCCCGCTTCCCAAAGCCATGACCAAAACGGCTATACAGCCCATTTAAGGGACCCCCGGGGGAAGTTAGGTGAACGTTAGGTGAAACAGTGTTCTGAAGTCTGAAAAAGTTGCATAATGTAGCAAAGTTTCGAGTGGAACGATAGTTCTTGTTTTGATGTCGTGTATTTCACGTGCGGTAACACTCAACTGGAGTTCCCCCGCAGTATCATTATATTAAATTTAATATCAACCACTAGCCCTCCGGGAAGTTATATTTTTAAATATTGCCGATGACTTCAATATTGCAAGGTAAAACGGAGTAGTTATGACTTCTGCATCACTGCACCTATGGAGACGACCAACGGAACTGTAAAGGCCAGGTTCGAGCACAGTCGAAATGTTTATCCAATANGGGTGTCCGAAATGTATAACAAGTACACTTGAGAGAATAACATGTTGAGCTTGTCTTGTCTAATAAGAGCATTTTAGTCATTTTAGCCCTCGTATTTATGAGTTTGCGCAAAGTCTGTGACCGTAACTTTGTTTATTTCCTGCAGCCACTAAATGTTCCCTCTTCTGATCAGAAACAAGCACCACATTGTCTAATCGCATTCTTAACTAATTGTGGCACTTCTTTCCTTCTTCCTCGCTTATCAGACAGTGTAGCCTGCTTCTACTTCTCGCTCCAAACTCACCTAATTCCTAAGGTAATACTGGAGCTGAAAAGAAATCATTTCAAAAGACACTCTTTGAATACGTTGACAAGCAGTCTGAACATTTTGTCCTCTCTAGAGCTCTTATCAAAAATTAAACGCTCAATACAAGAACTGAAGTCAAACTGTCAAGTTTGTTTCTCAGTGCGTGCGTGGAGAGGAGATTTAACGCAAGTGTTTATGAACCGCGGACAGAAACCAAAAGTTTGTGTTCTTGTTTTTGGTGCGCTTTCCTGCTTGTACAGAACTCATTTTAGCATTTACAACTTGAAGCCTTTGAAGCTGTTCTGGGTTGCCGACCGAGACTCCAAGACACTAAAGCTTTCTAAAGTTCATTTCTCTTTTATCTTACGTGTATCCTTTAAGGATAGATGTAAGACTTGTACCAAAAAAGATAGTTCCTGTTAATGTAGGATTCCTTTTTCCTAACCAAAAAAGGTAACCTTACAATATTTTAGGGCTCACATGTACAACAACGGTTTGCCTTACCATTCATCTTAGTGCTTGCTGCACTATAAAGCTGAAATAAATTATCCGACAGCGTACCACAACGGTATTTAAAATGTTGGGTCTAAATGGGGTGTGGAAAATCATATACGTTTATTTTGGTCTGAAGTAAAGGGGAACCTTAGCGAACTGGCTGTCACTCCCCCTTGGTACCCCTCCACAATCTAAAATTTCAAGGAAGCAAAGAATGATTTACTAATTTGTACTTAAATAACATTATTTTTAACTCTAGGGGAAGCTTAAATCAACAAAAATGGCCAACTCTGCCTCAAGGTGTGGTTTGGTTAAATTTCTATTTTCATAGCATTTAATTTACATCGATTTGATAAGCAGACTGGATTTAACTAACTTGGAAGGTAATTAAAAATAGCTGGACTCATAAGGGATACTAGTGAAGAGTACTCCAGCAGATGAAAATGAGTCAAAAACGAAAGATATTTCGAGATAACTTCGTGCCAGAGTAAAAAAACACGAAACGAGGAAATGGCACAACAAAACGGAATAGGATAGTAAAGAAATGGGAAAGCTTGGGACAGACATCTCAGAGGATGTTCCACCATTATCTTACGTTTCAATTAGCTCTTAGACTTTTAAGTTTCTCTCTCTTTCGCTATTCCCAGCTCCAAGCGATACTATTCGCTCGGAAGAGATTATTTGGTTAGAGCGCCAACCAAGAAAAGATTCAAGAAATCCCATTCTGGGTTCTGTGGAGGCGGCTGCAATTAACGGATGTAATAACCAAGTTATTACCACAGGTAAATAACGCTTTTATAATTCGTAGCCATGCGGTTGATACTGGGTAACGGCGCAATGAGCTATGGTCGATAACGCCAAGAGCGCGGGAAAAAAGTAGCGCGAGGGCATTGGAGATGAGGGCACTGGAGTTTTCTTGTCTCCAGCTTTCCCACTGCCATTTGTTCTCAGGTTTTCTGCCTCTCGACCCACGAGAGAATACAAAGACTAGCAAATCCACTGTCGTATTTGCTGTGCCTCACTTTGTTTTTTTCTTGTCGTGCAAGTGAGTCTAAATCTTTCCTCGTTTATTTTCTGGTAGATTCTCGTAAAATTTCAGACGTCACGGACACCATTTCTCGACCGCCTGATACGCCTTTATATCAGGTGTTGGAAGGACCCTACGGAATGGGCACGATTATGGACCGAGCATTGTCCGGTCAGAACGAGCAGTCGTCCGAGCGCTTCCGATCTGATTCCGATTATGACGAGCCTGTGTTGAAAGAGGAGCGCGCAGCGATTGGTTCGCCTTCAAAAGGGCGGAAAAAGGAAGCTGTTTACGAAGACGCGCATCTTAAGAGATTCACAGACGCTGCCGGCAGTAGTGATACCTTAGACAACAACGATGAGTATTGTTATAGTTACACAACTGACCTACCTTTAAAAGATGAAAAAAGCAGACCACACGAGGATCCCAAAACAAACGGCCCTTTATACCACTCCTTGGAGGGCCCTAATGCTGGGTACCAGGCCCTTGAGGGCAAACCGGCTCCGACGAACGGTTACACGCCCATGGAGGGCGTAACAGAACTGAGTGGTTACCAGCCCCTTCAGAAACCAACACGGTCAGTCTATCAGCCACTCAGAAAGACAACTACTGAAACTCCTCGAAGGGCGTTCACAAGAAAATAAAGTCACTCTGTTTTATCTTTGTTACTTTCTTAAATTAAAATTATCTGCTTCCTTAGAGGAGCGAGTGAATGTATACTGCTTTGCTTTAAAAAAAAGCCTTAATTTGGTGGTCGGAAATGACCTCATGGTAAGGCTTCGAGAGCCGGAAATGACGTCACGTTTGTGTTTTTATCCACTCTTTCTATATTTCAGTGATGTGGTTTATTTTCCTTGGAAATCTAGCGTGTGAATTTCTAGCACTCTATGAAGAGCTGAGTTTTGAATGTAGAATTTCCTTGAGAATTTTAGCTGTAGGCTGTAGGTAATTTTTTGACTTAAATATATTGAGCTATACTTGTAATAAAATTGTATATGACAGTTCGCTTGAACTGTCATATACAAGAACTGTAAGAACGTTAATCTTAGAAAACATTATACTTGTAACAGTCGATCAATCTTTACAATACACAATCTATATAAACAATGTGGCGTTCAGTTGTGACTGAAGTAAACAATTCCCAGTCCCCGGACAATTTTGCATCCCTACACTAAATTAATGACTTGAAATTCCTTACATAGTTTAAGCTCGAAATTCTTTGGTTTTTTATGTATACCAGAACAGCGACTACAATAACGCGAAGAAAAAAATTGGCATCGTTGCAAACAATCATAGTTCGGGGTCTTTATTAAATATATTTAAATTCTCTCCGGGATAATATAATTGCATTTATTACTAACTTAGTGCAATTTCTGTATTTGATGAATTTCCTTACTTTCCAACAACGAAGCTAAACTTGTATAAAAATGTCCTGGACACTACAATTTGATATTTTTGTCTCAAAGTATTCAAGTGTTACCTGTAGAAATAACTGATTTAGGGTAAGTTTTCCATAAGTAATCGCGAACGGCTTGCACGGCCGGGTTGTTCCAAGCCCGATTTAGCTAATACAAAATTGGCGAGAATTTTTATTTCAGTTTACTGACTTTTCGGTGCGGTTTTCTGTTTATATTGTTTGTTCTTCTAGTTTGAGATTGTATAATCTCAAGCTACAGAAAAATAAGCATTGAAAAACATTTTAATACAGGAAAAATTAATATTTCGGTTAACTTTTAATCCTGGGTTAGCGTTAACCGGCTTTAGAACAACCCGACCCTGCGAATATCAACCTCATACTTGTCTGTTTCAAAGTTCGCCGACGTTTGTTTGTTCAACAACCTGGAAAAAATGTGCAAAAATAAAGCATTTTTTGCTGACCAATACTCTTCTTTTAGCGTTGTTGAAATGTAAACAGGAAATTTTTCTACTTGGGAATAAAAAGAAACATTGAAAAGAAATACGACGAACAATAAATGACGCAATTGGATTGAAGTGAGGGACAACATTTGTTTGTTCCAAATCGTGAAAAAACGTATAATAATAAAACATATTTTACTGGCCAATACTCTTCTCTATGTTCATCAGTGAATTATTTAACGTTGCTGAAATGTAAACATTAAATATTTTTAATTCTGAATGAAAAGACACTTTACAAGGAATGTGACGAACAATAACGTTTCAATTGATTGAATTGAATCGAAGGGAAATTTAACGTATGATAAAAAAGAATCGAACGGAGAATACCAGCAATGGTGCATTCTTGAAATTCTCATAAACTAATTGCCCGCTGGTTATAAATTATTTTATTCTCGGCGGGGAATATTTTTGTAGGATCATTTCTTGATCAAATCGTTATGCCCCCTGAAAGTTCCCACTTGAACAAACGAGAGGCGCAAAGGAAATTACTTACAAAAGGCAATATATGCTATCAAGTATATCGTCCTGATATTTGATGACCAGTGTTCACAACTTTCTATTTGTGTAAAATTGTTACAAGATCATTTTATTGAAAAGGCATTTTAGAGTTCGAAACTTCGCATGCATGAAAAACCCTGTTTAAGTTAATTGTTTACTGACTTAAACTGGGTTACTTTTTTCAGTAAGTAAAACCAGATATTAGTTTCCTATTTGATCGAGGACGATGCAAACTACCTTTTTTGCCATTTGCTTTTTGCTAATGGTAAAACGAAGCAAAGAATCCTTTGCCAAAATTGTGATCAAGAGACCATCCCTTCAGGCTATGAACGATGGAGTAGTAGATGGCTTTCGGGTTAGAGCTAATGGTGGAATGAATTTTGGAAGCAAGGAATTTGAATGCGAAGATTTCAATGCTGTGATTCCGAGAGGAATAAACTCAAGTTCCAGACTTCATTGCGAATGTAAAAGTGAAGCTTCAACATTTGGCTTTTTTGATGAAAAGTGGCAATGTGTGGATAACGGAGAACTTCGCCAAAGTGAAGGTAGGTATCGAAACATCTTCAAAGTTTATGGGACATATACTCTAAAACTTGTGCGTTAAGGTTTTTGTTTGCTTTCTAACCGACAGTTTCCGCTTAATAATTAAATTTACTTTAACTCCTAAAAGTGATAAAAATCTTAATTCCTTCTACAATATCAATACAGGATTAAGTAAACAGGTGTCAAGAATTAAGAAATCAACAACTGTGCGTGGCAATGGTGTTGATGCAACGACACCATATATATTCTCAGTTTGATCAAACATAACAGGGATTTGTGTAATGGAGAATGAAAGATTGAAACTTGGACTAAACTTTGATTCAAAGTTTTACATATGTACATAAAAAAGTTTTGACACTGACATATGATTGCATAACGCGCAATTCATAGAACAAACTGATGTAAGTATCTTAGAGGAATTATTTAATTTACGCCACAGCCGACTGTGTTACTGAATAACTAGAGATATCACCTTTAGATCCAAATCGAAACATGGAGATTTCACCGTTGTTAAGTTCTTATACCCAAAATATGATTATTTCACGTTGACGTTTCAGTGAAAAATTGGCTTAGAAATGTATCAAAGTGTGTCACGCACGTGCATTTCGAGATGTACGCACTATACTGATTGTCTGCATGCTGTTTTCCCAGAGGGTAGTCCAAGAAAAATCAGTGGGGTGTGCGGCCCGCTTCCCAAAGCCATGACCAAAACGGCTATACAGCCCATTTAAGGGACCCCCGGGGGAAGTTAGGTGAACGTTAGGTGAAACAGTGTTCTGAAGTCTGAAAAAGTTGCATAATGTAGCAAAGTTTCGAGTGGAACGATAGTTCTTGTTTTGATGTCGTGTATTTCACGTGCGGTAACACTCAACTGGAGTTCCCCCGCAGTATCATTATATTAAATTTAATATCAACCACTAGCCCTCCGGGAAGTTATATTTTTAAATATTGCCGATGACTTCAATATTGCAAGGTAAAACGGAGTAGTTATGACTTCTGCATCACTGCACCTATGGAGACGACCAACGGAACTGTAAAGGCCAGGTTCGAGCACAGTCGAAATGTTTATCCAATAACTAAACATGAATACGTCTTCTGCTAGAACCTGTCGCTTAATTACTGTATATAGAGACAGTTGATCATCCTTTACAATCTGAGAATAAAGTATAGGAAGTGATAAAGCAATTTATCAGGAATTTAAATGGTTTCCATTTTAACTGAAATCAGAGCATCTTAAGAAAGAGAACCAAGTAATAGCTTTTCAAAGCCCGGCTAATTCTTAACAATCCACCGTCATTTTGGATGAACGAAAATCGTCAAGCAAAATGCTAGATTAGAAGTTTGGAACTAGTCAGCCAAACATTTTTCGCGTGGCTAACAAGATTTGATTATTTTTGAAGGTTAAACCTTAAAATGTGTTTGATAGTTTAGTCTGGGTTTATGTTGTTAAAATATTATGCCCCGCAGGCTGTGGATTTCAATTTTCTTCGGATACTGAAGTCGACGACCCATTGGAAGTTCTGAAGGAAGGAGATCAAAGAGCTGTCGTACTACCATCCAAAAACTGTACCATTAATGAATCAACTTCAATGTATCTTGAGTGCGGAACCTGGCGTCCCATTGACAAAATGTCCGTGCTGAACACGTTTAGATTAAATCAGAGTTGTATGGATAGCCCCATCTTAAAGGCAAGTGATTTAATTTTACCTAGAGTGTATAAAGAGGAGGAATTTACCCAAATTTTAGCAGCACGGTTGCCTTCAGATTTGATCGTATACCATTTGGAGGCCAAAACCGTGCGAGAGCAAAAGCAGACATTGCTATTTGGCACATAATTATGTAATATATATATAGCAATACTTCTTTATTTGACAACATTTGTTAATTGTCTGTCATATGACGGGAAAATATTGGCTTCGAGAAACTATATAGCATTGATTTGGGTCGTCAAAAATTTCAAACATAGTTTCTCTTCAAAACAAAGCGCAATATTGATATTAACATTTACACGAAGGTTATCGTAAAAATTACTTATGGACCCATCTACACTACGCCGGAGAAATTTGAAAACGCAACTTTATTTCTACGGTTAGGCCTTCCGTCCACACTAATCCGTCACGAAAACGGAGCTTTCCGAAAACACTCTTCAAACCGGAGGAGTTTGAAAAAGCCGCCTTTGAATTTTAGTGTGGACGAGAAACATTTTGAAAATGAAGTTTCTCGAAAACCACGACTTCTTGATAATCATGTCACTAACCCTGACCCTTAAGGGTGCTCTCAAGCTTTTCTGCCGCCGGTGATTGATGCGTTTATAAATTTCTCCGGCGCAGTGTGGGTGGAAAACATTTGATGCATTTTCGGAGTGAAAACTCCGTTTTCAAGTTTCTCGGGCGTAGTGCATGTGAACGAAGCCAAGTTTGATAAACACTTCTGTTGTCCTTTTCGTTATATTGAACGGCTCCTTGAACGTCTTAGTTTACTTTCTAAATAATATGAGTTGTTTCACTGCTCTATCAAAATAATATTTTTTTTCATGTTTTCGTTATCTAGGTTGACAGTGAGAACATCTCATCTTTGTTGAACGGCCGTGTAATAAAACTTGGTTTGACCTGTCTTCCGGCCAATGGAGAGCCTTGTTTGATTTTTAAACTTAGAGGATCCGTTAAATGTAAGTTGATATTTCCTTGTATTTTATTTTCCTGGGCCTATGAGCTGTTCACCAACAAAAACATGATAGAATATTAGCACCTTGCCATAGACAATGATACCGTAATGTACTTTTAATTATCAGAGGCTGTTCCTCGAAATATCTGTATCCTATCCGGCTTTTTGCTGGATGGGAAACCGTGGGGCACTTAGCCTTTATACTAACGAACCTCTAGGCCGGAGGAAACTTGGTACTTCCAGCGAGTTGAAGGTCTATATATGATCCTGAAACTACACTCTTCAACTCATTTTAACCCACACCCTTCCCCCCAATAATGGTGTAGATGATAGCCTTGGAACCTGGTCCTTGATTAAGTCTGGTGTATGTAAATTTGGGTTATTTCGTCGTCATGTTTACTCATCGTACCATTTGTAGTTGTAATTAAAGTTGTTCTCTTACTCGTAAGGGACTATTTTTTAGCTGTTTTACTCTTAAAAAGATTACAAGCATTGGTACATTGGTTACACAGTATATTAAAAGTTGTCTTGGAACAGCTTTTTGCATGTTTCAATTACCAAGACAAAGTGCCCGTTGTGCAGGTCAGTCTTGTTAGCAGGATAATTAATTCGTGGCCTTCAGGATAATTTATTCGTGGCCTGCAGGATAATTTATTCGTGACCTCTAATGTGTTTGATCCACAGGTCCATTTAATCGGAAAAAGTTATTGCCTGCGATGTCTTTAACGATGCTAGCTTCGCCATATTGGATTTCAAGCACATCGCACAAAGAAATTTACACCTTATCCACCATTTCATATAAACCATCACGAACTCACAGCTTCTCGCTGACATGGAAATCCTCTTCATATACGTTACCTTCAAGTGTTAGCCACACAAGTATCACACCTATCAACCAAGTTGCTACTTCATTTAGGCCGACACAAACTGTACGCGTAGCCACCACGCCTTTATTCCGAGAACCTCAGACAATATCTAACGAGGGATTATCATTGTTTGTATCTCTCTCCGCGAATACAATTTCCCAGCCACTGACCGGTAACACAAGTATTCAGTCGACACCTGTTGATAACGATGAAGAACTTTCAATATTTCGTGGAAAAACGGATTCAACCCAGTCTGTGTTGTCACGAATGACTTCGCGCTCTGTTCTACACTCGACTAATACTATAACAGCATTTAGCTCGGTTTTTGTAAATGAAAGTATTGGAATGAATCAAACTTTAGGAGATGGAGACCAAAAAGCCATGATAGATAAGGTAAGGTTATAGTCTTGATTTCGCTCATTTAACTGTTTTATATACGACAGGGGCTGTGAAATTGCCTTCCCCTTTTCGTGACAAAATCTTGCCGCATTTTTCTCTCACCGCAAGAACCCTTAGATATTAATAGATATTTATAACGAAAAGTGTATTTTTAAAACGCGCTTTGTGATTGGATGAGAGTGGTTTTCGTGCGCTCGTAGGCTATTTTCAAAAATCATATAACAAAAAGCCGCTTATATTTGCAAATATAATTGATAAACATTTGTGTGCGACTTGCAGGACTTAACCGTTTGTGTCTTTACGAGTGGTTTAAGGTATTGGTGTTGTAATCTAGAGCTATACAAGTTTCAGTTTTCAAGCCTTCGACCCTGCCACTAAATGGAGGTTCTCTTGGTAGTCGTTAGTTATAGGCCCAGGTCAAACTTTAAACATCACAAGAGACGAACTATAATTGCAATTTGAGTCGATCCAAACGAGTAAAGCTCGACCGTTTGGTGAAACGTCGAACTTAATTCGAATTTAGATCTAAATTCAGTCGGACAAACTCTGTTGAGTCAAACGTCGAAGTTTAATATCACGAACGTACTTCGCTCAGTTTAATTCGTCTTATGTGAAGTTCGACGTTTGACCTGGGCCTTAATCACGCATTGTGAATAACTAACCGTTCTGCCTCCCACCAGTTGAGATTTGTAGCCTTGTTTTGTTTATTTGTAATGTTTGTTTCGTCTGTTTGAGTGTGACACCTCGAAACTTAGTAGTTCAGTGTAGCTCGAGGCTAAGTACATTGACTAAATATGTCATTCTTAATTCAATTCATTTCCTCAGATGAGCCCATCCATGAGCCGGATCATGTTGACGGCTGTGATCCCAGGAATCATGGCGGGCATTTTAATCATCCTTGTTTCACTTCTGTTGTGTTTCCTTGCCAGAAGAATGGGTCATTTGATGTAAGTATTCGAATTTTTTTTTTCCGAGTGGCTTTTTTTTGACCAAGACTATTTCAAACCAAGAACTACGAACCATTTCCTTAACACTATTAAAGACTTTTTACAAACCATGTACAATTGTATTTCTTTTCAGACGTGTTGGAGCTGACAGAGACGGGGACGGAGAAGGTTAGCTAGTCTTTTGTTTTTATTTGTTAAGAATAACCATCGAAATAACCCACGACCTACTCCAATCTGGCCTTGAAAACTCTGTAATTTAATAGCCGAGACCAACGGTAATCTAATCCGAAAATCTTTGGTTAGAATCTCACCGAAGTCTAAAAAAGTTCTGGTTTGCCTTTGTGCTCTCACATTTCCTTACTAGGGCTAATATTCAGAAGGAAACTGTTTGGTTGATTTGAATTCCGTTATAAAATTGCTATAGACTTAATTCTCTGATTTCCCTTTTTCGAAAGAAAAATCTGATACAGTTTTCGTTTGATTATTGGTCTTCTTCCTGATTAAACTTGCTTGGGCCTTAATTGTTTTTCAAATATATTGTAGAGCGTTCCGCATGAAAGGTCCAGAGGCCGCTTATTTTTGAGAATCGAATGGAAGAGTCAGTATATTATTCAAGAAATCGGAAATGAGATTGTGATTTAGTTCCTATGCGAGAGAAAATCACTATTGCTTGAACATGATAACTTTAACGAAGCCACAACGATGGCTTAATAGCCAGGTAGATAACGATCGAGTACGTTTGATTGCGGCTATGATAACGGTATGATAAAACGACCGCGATTGGAACACTAGCCATTTCGTTTAGTTCATGCTAGTCGATCAAACATCAGAAGGGGTGCTGCGGTTTTGTTCAGTATTAGACTCTAAAGGCCAATAGTTCTATAAGGACACTAGAGGAAGTTCCTCTTCTATTTTGGACAGCTCTTGTGGATTCCTTAAGCCTTTTCTGACTAGATCCAAACCAAAGGGTCACGTAATGTGATCGTATATTTTAATCTGTGGCTGAATTCTACGCTTTTTAGATAATTCATGTTGAAGCTATTGAGAAGTACTGTCATGTGATACTGTTAACTAACTGCGCTATACCAGGGAGTTTTAGCTCTTAGATGTCTGATTGTGACCCTACTTTCATGTGGTACTGTTTGTCATGCTGTACAAAAAGGTTATAAATTTTAATCTTAAGATAAAACTATAATGTGTGACCATTCAAACGAAAGCTATTGAGCAGTACTTTCATGTGGTACTGTTATTATGCTGTACAAGGTGGTTGTTTAAGTCTGTGGATGAAACCCTGGTGTGCGTGCGGTACTCCTGACTGCTTTCAGTTTCAAACTTGTAAGACTGTGTAGCCGCAAGTTGAACTTGCGGCAAGTAGAGACTTGCGTTGGGTGGCCAAACAGACTAGTACACGCAAGTCGCAAAAAAACATTTCAAGGCAGACATATTCTGTATTTCGTTGGCTAATAACAGGCATAAGGACGTCTCTCAACTTGCGTTGACTTGGGTTGGGTGGCCAAACGGTGAAAGACCTGCGTCGACTTGCGTGCAAATTTGATCTCGACCAAAGTGAGCGCAAGTCAACGCAAGTGCACGCAAGTCCTGGCCAAACGGACTCGCAAGTAGACCCAAGTTTTCAGTTTCCGTCTGCTTGCGAGTCCGTTTGGCCAGGGCTTAAAACTTAAAAAATGTTTAAGTTGGGCATAAAGCGAAGCTAGAAAAACATCTACCCCTAATAAGTTAGAAAATACATGGCAAATTGTTTTCCGTTTACTTCTCTTTTAGACAGGGTACACTCTTTTAGTGAGGTGAGTCAATTTCAGCGTTCTTACGTGCGAAGTTATACTCATATTGATTTAAAAGGAACATTTTATTTCGAGTGATTATGGCAAACCGGAATAATTAAAGTATGATTCGTGCAGTTTAAACTCATTTGAGAATGGCCATGTGTTCTTGGGCAGGATACTTAACTCTCGCTGCCGTCCACCAAGATTTATGAATGGGTACTGGCAAATTTAACGCTGGGGGTAACCTTGTGATGGAATAGCAACCCATCCAAGGGCGGGGGAGGGGGGAGATATACTCCAAGCTGTAGTCGTTTCATCAGTATTACAGAAACTGGGATAATATAAGCTCCGGTTGTATATGGGCCACTGGCCTGATGCAAACTCTTTACTCACTTACAATTAAATCACGCCCATACAGGACGCTACCATTCATGGAAGTGAAGAAAATGTTTCTGTTTATGAATTGGTTGAGAGGGGAAATTCTTCAGGTGTAAATGAAACTCAAGGATCAGGTAAGATTTAACAAAAAAATCAAAAAGAAATGACTGACTTCTTTCAATTCCATGGTATATTTTTTAAGCCTTACGATAATAGCTAAGGCATTAATTATTAAAGTTTTCTCCTTGCTATTGTGCATGTAGGAGTGTCACTGGTTTCTCAGTGATGTAAAACCGTGTTACGCTTGATTCATACTAACGACATGACTACATAACGATGTGATCACTTATGTCGGTGAGGTGAACATCAACATGAAGACATAAGGAAACGTCAGTTCTTTTTCCTTATTTCTTTATGTTCATGTCCGCCTTATGTTGCTATTATGTCGTTATGTCTTAATGTTCACACTGCAAACATAACAACAGAACGTCCTCCTTGTGTCGTTATGTTTTTGTCGTTATGCTGCTAGATAGCGTGAACTAGGCCATAGATGTCTACCCGTATCTTCAGTAAAAGTCATCATGATTAATCGTAAACTTTTTATCTGCTTAGTTTCAAATGCTGTGTATCAAAAAGATGATCAGATTGAGTTCCAAGAACCTTCAAACCACGCCAAAATGCCTGATGACGCGGTAAACATATATGCCGAACCATTTGGACACATTGCTGGTACAAATGTACACACTGATTCTGCTTTAACCCCCTTGGATAATGCTCTTAGATATCAGAATCTCCTGGGGAAAAAGTTAGAAAGTGGTGAGATGATTTAACTTAATATTTAATTTTTACGTTTACAGAATACAGTCGAGTCTTCACTAACGGCCATCTCTAAGTAATGGCCACTTTTTTTTGTCTTGGCGAAAAGTCCATACATTTTCTCGTATTCTAACCTCTCTACAACGGCCACCTCTCCACAACGGCATCGGCCAATAAAACGCGTCCAGATTGACAGAAAAATCTCTTCACAACGGTCAGTTAATTAACGTCTGACGAGCGGTGTATACAAAAGCCCATCTTTATTGGAAAAGGTCACAAAACGTGATCCATATACACTGCGCGTCGTTGGTCTCTGTTTCTGTTTGGGTTCTGTTTTATTGATATGTTACGTATTTACATGCTACAATAAGCATTTAAAAATGTTAAACCATTTGAAAAAGTACAAGTATCATGTTATACTCCCACCTCCCCAAAAAGGCCACCTCTACACAATGGTCACTTTCCTCTGTCCCCAAGGTGGCCGTTGTGGAGAGGTTCTACCAAATCAATAAAATGCCGAGAAGGCAGGTGTTGACAACACAGGAAATCATTAGCTAAGTGATATTGCCTTGATGTACCGCCAAATTCTCAGAACTGCATCGAAAGAATTGTATGGCAATGCGTATAGAAAATTGATTTTTCAAGTTTAGAAACTGAAAAGATTTAATCTCGTGTTTGTCGTATGAAAAGATCAGTTTTGGAAATTTGAAAATGGGAAATTTTGGAAAACAAATGCTTGGATTATTTTTAGTGGACGTCCTCTCATTATTGAAGCTTATTGAAGACTGAATTACTCAAAATTTACAACGACGATCTCCGATCATTTTCGAACCCTTACGGAGTGTTTCGAGGATGATCAAACACACTTTCGAACGTTCCCAGACCTTCAGTGATTTGTTGAAGACACTAAACACACAATATGTTTTAATTTCTTATTTAAATTACGTTTTTATTATTTGAACACCTTGGCAGTGGAATATGCGTCGAGATATTCTGTGCCTCAAGCCAGGCCCTTACACCACGAAGGCTCGGATAAGACAATGGAAAATGGGCCCACTACATGTACGAGCGCGCCATCATCAAGTACCGCGGAGGGCCCTTCAAACATGGAACGTAGGGAGAGATACACATTAAGGGACATTTTAGTTGAGGACTTAGACATAGAAACGTCCGAAGCTCCTGAGGACCTCTTTGAGGAAATACGATTGCGACCTTCATTGCTCATTGAGGAAAGAACAATCCCTGGTCAGAGTGAAGACTGTGATAATAGGTGTAGTGCAAACACTTTGGAAGAGAATTTAAATTCATCAATTGAACTGAACAAGACATCTCAAACCTCCAAAAGACAGATCGAGCAACTGGAAAGGCATCCATGTACGGTGCACGAAAAGTCCAAAGAGAACAAAACTAAAGTCAGTTCCTTGAGAAAATTCAAGACTTTCTTTAAACTGACACTTTAGTTGTATACTGACTTCCACTGAGTCGCATGGATAGTTTGAAACTTGAACTATCGTGTTTAGGAAACTATTAAAAGAGTTTAAGAAACTACGGCAATCAAACTGAGGGAAGCGAGTCAGGTCTCGCTATAATCTAAATGATTTCAGTTTGTCTCTCATAGACAAATAGGTGCTAAAGGCAAAGAGGCTTGAAACCTTCTCTGCCGTAACCCAGAACTTGGCCATTTCACGTTTGTTTGTTTTTTTAGAAATGACAAGACAGGGACAAGGAGGTATTACGCTTGTGCAGATCCACTGTGCCACCTGTTAAACATAGTAAATGTCAAAAATGTCATTCCTTTTTACTGAGAAAAGCAGCTTAGCTTAGATCTTAGAAGGAATTCTCTATCTGAAGAGGGACAAACGTAAATGTCGCGTTTCTCTATCCCGAGATGTTGGACAGGAAAAATAAAATCAGAACTACATAAAGCTCATTCTTTGTCAGGTAAACATTGAAGATAGTCGGACGAAATCTCAATTAAACCTTAACATAGTTTGTTTTTCAAAGTTAATCTTAGCAGATTTCCTTTAAACATACAAACACGATTTAAAAACTTCGACTCGAAGTATAAAACTTGACCACCCTGAAGGACCTCCTCAAGTAGAGAAGCAATTTTATTCAGTTCACGTTGTTACAAGTAATTAAAGGGCAAGAGTTAGGTTAACACTATTTCCGTAAGTTCCCTTTTACTGACACGAAATAAGCCCCACATGTGGATTTCTTTCACGTATGACTCTTGATCTTGTGGTGTTAACACTTACTTATAAATTTCCGTCATTAGTAATTACCGACCAGTACTGGCTCGCCATCACTTTTAATAAACAAAAAATGCGGCCATATGTATGATTTTTTATATCTCTTAAGTCCTAAATTTTGCTGACTCTTTAACAAACAGGGTTACAGACAGTCTGTGGGCGCGACAACCAACTCACCCTCCCCTTCCCCAAAACAGAAGTTAATCTTAACAGTTATCAAACCGCAGTCCTCTGAATCATGCAGAACTCATAAACGCAGGTTTCTTCTAAAAAGATCTTCAAAAAATTCACACAAACAACATAGGAGTCGTAAAGAGCAAAAATCGTTCTAGTCTTCCCGCAAATTTACTGCTTGGTGAAGCTTTTTGAAATTCAAATTACGTTCACTCATTACTATTCATATTTCATCTTTAACTTCGCACGCGGTAACTGCCGAGTGACGGGAAAGTAAAGTTGCTTTGATTCTCCGTTGAATAATCTTCAAGACACTAGTTCCTGCGTGGAAAATGTATGTACTGAACGACGACCAGGAGGCCTTTCTCTTACCGTGCACTGAAAGGGGGCAGTGAACAAATGCTGAATGTATACATATCTATTGGCAGAGGAGATGCAGACTTTCAAGCACACTGTCTACAGTGTCGAGGTAACTCATTTCTATAGTTTCCTTACATTTAGTCTTCTCTAAGCATGTTGTTGAAAGACGTTTATTTCTTTACTTTTTACATTCCCAACGTGTTATAGAATTCAAAACGGTTTAGTTGCTCCACTACGTCGAAACCGAAGTTTATATTTGCATATTTAAACGTTGTTTACCTGGAATTACATGGTTGAAATTGTCTTCGAGCGAGATCTGCACCCTGATTTTCTGGAATTGTTTTTTGGGTGAATCGTTCGTTTTTGTGCTCGTTACAAAAAGGAAAAATCGTCATATACGAAAGTTTTTTTGAGTTATGTTTTTAAAAGGATTATTTTTCGCGTGAAGTTTCCGTTTCGAAGATCGGGCTTGGACTGGTACACAAAACTAATCGCTCACTCTTCAATACATTTTTGAACATTTGACGCAAAATTCTTATACTTTAAAGTCATTGGGTGTTTTCAACAAGTTGATTTTTCCCATTGATGAGCTAGGGTGTTTGTTCAGAGAAGTTGTTATTGTTTCGCTAGTGCATTATTGACGTTACATCTAAGTTCAATTTTTTATATTTTACAGGGAGTTGGCGTGGGAATGTATATTTTCCGGAATTTGACGAGTCATGCTCATATCTCTTTTCGCAGTCGTCTTCTCGATGTCTCAAGCAAGATTGTCGACTTCATGCATCAACAAAGACAACGCCGTAAGGTAACAAAGATATTGTTTACATCGATTTATAGCGGGGACACGATAACGTGTCAGAAATTAACGGGAAGGAGAGATCTATGGTAAACTTTCAGTAGTTTAAAAATACTTTATTTTTTTTATCATTTTAGGTGGCATGGAGGAAGACACTTTTGATTGCCTCAGTCAAGTGCCTGGAGCAGATTGTCCACTATATCTCTGGAATCAGCGCAAAAAAGCCAAAAGGTAAGTAAAATATTCCTTTGGAAAATTAGCAAGAAATTTGGAAGTGCTGGGTTATAACCCTCTTGCTGGGGTAACCCTAGCTCTAGGGTTACCTTACTTCCTAGGGAGGGCCTTGTTATAGTCTGAAGCAAAAGAGTTGGGTGTTGAAGGGCTGAAGGCTTGTGTCGGATATGCAGGGAAATAACGTTTAGAGACCGGTGAGAGAGATGTCTGGTAGAAGATTTCAAACATTTGACGTCACTGCTTGATTTGGTTTTCAGTTATATACGAGATGTTACTGTCCATCATCTTCTGGATACTGGCTGAAAAGGACTGTGAACCGCATGTGTGGAACAAGCTCAAAATCACGAGGTAACAATAACTGTTTATTTTGATTCAAACAATGATTGGCAGCTTGTACATCAAGACACTACTGTCCCCCACCCCCCTACTTGAGGTGGTGAAGCACCTTTTTGGTAATTGTAATGTATACAATTATTCTAGGGGAAATCTTAGTATAGAGGCAATTTTAATCCTTAGCTTTCTTCGGAACACATCCCATCACTGCGTTTTTCTTTAAGGGCTGGTGGGGGGGAGGGGGTTTACAAGTTGCAGGCTTGCATGAAAAATGAGACGAGTCGAATGGGGCTTTGCGTTGGTGTTGGGGGTCATTCCAGGACCATAGCGTTTTTCATCATCTAAAATTGGAAAACTCTTTTTGGAGAAAAATGACCAAATGAAAGATTCAATTGGCCAAAACTAACAATAATGAATAGACCAAGTAAAGTTGAGGTGTTTTTCACATCTATATAGCTAAGTTCCAACTAACGGAAAAATCGTTGCAAAACCCAATTGAGTAAAAATATTTTTCGACGATGTTTTGACCGCTTGGACAAAATAGACTTACCAAGGGTGTAACCAGACAATTCGGGGAGCAAGGGGCTGTAACAGCTTGTTAAACTGACTGAAAAAGAGAAGGGCGGGGCATGCCCCTCTCCCATCTCAAAGAAAATTTAAAAAGTTACACCATCTAAGGCAACATTACCTGCATCAGTTTTAACGAAAGAGTTAAGACTTTGAATGACAGACTCAATTCCACTAGAAGATATTTTCCTCACACTAGATTCTCCTATTTTCGCATGGTCTTGGCAATTTTATCTATGAACACCACTACAGGGTTGGCAGTACTTTAAATACTTTTCATTTTATTTCAGACAAATGAAGGGAGTCGTGTTGGAGAGGAAGCTGAGTTGGTGAATTGGGAACAAAGATCTTTATGTCACATGGATGATATGATAGCGATATGAGGTATGTTTTATTCATTGATTGATCTATATAATTATGTTAAGAGTGTATGCCTGTAAAAATCAGACAAATTCTTAATTTCGCGGCGAGGGTCGAAAATTCGATTTCGCTCAGCTTTTCACATTTTGTAAACTATCTTTTTGAAATTGATAGTTGCTTTTTATAAATGTCAAATGCGGTCTTTATCAACTGATTGTCAAGGTAATACAGAAACAAGGGAATTGCCATTTGGACAAATATCAGTTCTACGACCACCAAGCAAAATAAAGTTGAATAGTTATACGAAAAATCGGGCACATGCCTAAAGATAACTTTGTCTTAAGCTTAGTAGCTCTCATTGCAACATATATAGACGGTCTTCTTATTTGTAGTGTATCCAGAGCGTGATCTGAGTGTAAGTTGAAATAAGGAAAAGTTTGATTTTTTGATAATAAGGAGATCATTCCGTACACTTGTGACGCTACTTTTGATATTTAATGGAAGCCAGATGCTGTCTTGTTAGGATCATGTTATGTGTTTACTGAAGGACGCTCACTAAGCCTGCTTTCTACCCTTTTTCAAGTGCAGTTCTGTTCTTCACTTTGAAAGTAATTCGGTGTAAATAAGAAAAAAATGAATTAAAATATCGTGACATGGCTTTTGTAACCGCTTACATTTGTTTTCAATTTTGATTAATTTAGAAAATAAGAAAGAATTAAAAATAACTATAAGCGTTTTGTGATTTTTATAGCAAAGACTATTACGTGTTCTTTCGTGCGATTGCACATTATATTTATAAGCTTTTTTCTGCTCATTTGACGGTTTGGGAATTAAATCATTCATTTTTTGTTGCAAAATTTACGACACCAATATTCAGCGCTTTAGGTTACAGCTTAATGAACTGGACACAAACACATGAATATTGTTTCCCTAGCTGACGTCAGTAGATTTGCATAACACCGTCGGTCTATACATCAAATATCTCTGGGTTATATACGTCCATGTTTGTAATTTAACGATCGCTAGCGACTCAATTGTCGAGATTTCTAGCTTTCTAAGTTGATAGGTAATGAAGTCGATCGTGACGGATTGATCATAACCTGGTTCATTTTTACAACCGTATCGCTGTTCAGTTGCTTAACAGCTGTGCAACCTTTAGAGAACACATATTAAAAGGACTTAAAATTCACTGTGCATTGAGTCTCGCAGTTATCTCGCAATTAATCTAGCAGTTAATCTAGCAGTTATCTGGATGTGTTTCAGTAGTGTCTCCGTACTATCCTACAAAAGATAGCGTTTAATTAGGCCGACACGAAAAACACGAAAAACACGAAAAACACGAAAAAATCTCATGTTGTTGTTTTGCATGTCAGGCAAAATGTGCGAAAAGATGTTAGTAATAATGAATTCAAGGCAATTGTTCTGCTCTTCAAGCCTCTTGTTTGGAGATACATTTTTTTCTTTTTTTAGACGTTGATACTGAGGTAATATTTGAAATGTTCTTGTCCGGAAACTAGCATAGANTTCTTATACTTTAAAGTCATTGGGTGTTTTCAACAAGTTGATTTTTCCCATTGATGAGCTAGGGTGTTTGTTCAGAGAAGTTGTTATTGTTTCGCTAGTGCATTATTGACGTTACATCTAAGTTCAATTTTTTATATTTTACAGGGAGTTGGCGTGGGAATGTATATTTTCCGGAATTTGACGAGTCATGCTCATATCTCTTTTCGCAGTCGTCTTCTCGATGTCTCAAGCAAGATTGTCGACTTCATGCATCAACAAAGACAACGCCGTAAGGTAACAAAGATATTGTTTACATCGATTTATAGCGGGGACACGATAACGTGTCAGAAATTAACGGGAAGGAGAGATCTATGGTAAACTTTCAGTAGTTTAAAAATACTTTATTTTTTTTATCATTTTAGGTGGCATGGAGGAAGACACTTTTGATTGCCTCAGTCAAGTGCCTGGAGCAGATTGTCCACTATATCTCTGGAATCAGCGCAAAAAAGCCAAAAGGTAAGTAAAATATTCCTTTGGAAAATTAGCAAGAAATTTGGAAGTGCTGGGTTATAACCCTCTTGCTGGGGTAACCCTAGCTCTAGGGTTACCTTACTTCCTAGGGAGGGCCTTGTTATAGTCTGAAGCAAAAGAGTTGGGTGTTGAAGGGCTGAAGGCTTGTGTCGGATATGCAGGGAAATAACGTTTAGAGACCGGTGAGAGAGATGTCTGGTAGAAGATTTCAAACATTTGACGTCACTGCTTGATTTGGTTTTCAGTTATATACGAGATGTTACTGTCCATCATCTTCTGGATACTGGCTGAAAAGGACTGTGAACCGCATGTGTGGAACAAGCTCAAAATCACGAGGTAACAATAACTGTTTATTTTGATTCAAACAATGATTGGCAGCTTGTACATCAAGACACTACTGTCCCCCACCCCCCTACTTGAGGTGGTGAAGCACCTTTTTGGTAATTGTAATGTATACAATTATTCTAGGGGAAATCTTAGTATAGAGGCAATTTTAATCCTTAGCTTTCTTCGGAACACATCCCATCACTGCGTTTTTCTTTAAGGGCTGGTGGGGGGGAGGGGGTTTACAAGTTGCAGGCTTGCATGAAAAATGAGACGAGTCGAATGGGGCTTTGCGTTGGTGTTGGGGGTCATTCCAGGACCATAGCGTTTTTCATCATCTAAAATTGGAAAACTCTTTTTGGAGAAAAATGACCAAATGAAAGATTCAATTGGCCAAAACTAACAATAATGAATAGACCAAGTAAAGTTGAGGTGTTTTTCACATCTATATAGCTAAGTTCCAACTAACGGAAAAATCGTTGCAAAACCCAATTGAGTAAAAATATTTTTCGACGATGTTTTGACCGCTTGGACAAAATAGACTTACCAAGGGTGTAACCAGACAATTCGGGGAGCAAGGGGCTGTAACAGCTTGTTAAACTGACTGAAGAAGAGAAGGGCGGGGCATGCCCCTCTCCCATCTCAAAGAAAATTTAAAAAGTTACACCATCTAAGGCAACATTACCTGCATCAGTTTTAACGAAAGAGTTAAGACTTTGAATGACAGACTCAATTCCACTAGAAGATATTTTCCTCACACTAGATTCTCCTATTTTCGCATGGTCTTGGCAATTTTATCTATGAACACCACTACAGGGTTGGCAGTACTTTAAATACTTTTCATTTTATTTCAGACAAATGAAGGGAGTCGTGTTGGAGAGGAAGCTGAGTTGGTGAATTGGGAACAAAGATCTTTATGTCACATGGATGATATGATAGCGATATGAGGTATGTTTTATTCATTGATTGATCTATATAATTATGTTAAGAGTGTATGCCTGTAAAAATCAGACAAATTCTTAATTTCGCGGCGAGGGTCGAAAATTCGATTTCGCTCAGCTTTTCACATTTTGTAAACTATCTTTTTGAAATTGATAGTTGCTTTTTATAAATGTCAAATGCGGTCTTTATCAACTGATTGTCAAGGTAATACAGAAACAAGGGAATTGCCATTTGGACAAATATCAGTTCTACGACCACCAAGCAAAATAAAGTTGAATAGTTATACGAAAAATCGGGCACATGCCTAAAGATAACTTTGTCTTAAGCTTAGTAGCTCTCATTGCAACATATATAGACGGTCTTCTTATTTGTAGTGTATCCAGAGCGTGATCTGAGTGTAAGTTGAAATAAGGAAAAGTTTGATTTTTTGATAATAAGGAGATCATTCCGTACACTTGTGACGCTACTTTTGATATTTAATGGAAGCCAGATGCTGTCTTGTTAGGATCATGTTATGTGTTTACTGAAGGACGCTCACTAAGCCTGCTTTCTACCCTTTTTCAAGTGCAGTTCTGTTCTTCACTTTGAAAGTAATTCGGTGTAAATAAGAAAAAAATGAATTAAAATATCGTGACATGGCTTTTGTAACCGCTTACATTTGTTTTCAATTTTGATTAATTTAGAAAATAAGAAAGAATTAAAAATAACTATAAGCGTTTTGTGATTTTTATAGCAAAGACTATTACGTGTTCTTTCGTGCGATTGCACATTATATTTATAAGCTTTTTTCTGCTCATTTGACGGTTTGGGAATTAAATCATTCATTTTTTGTTGCAAAATTTACGACACCAATATTCAGCGCTTTAGGTTACAGCTTAATGAACTGGACACAAACACATGAATATTGTTTCCCTAGCTGACGTCAGTAGATTTGCATAACACCGTCGGTCTATACATCAAATATCTCTGGGTTATATACGTCCATGTTTGTAATTTAACGATCGCTAGCGACTCAATTGTCGAGATTTCTAGCTTTCTAAGTTGATAGGTAATGAAGTCGATCGTGACGGATTGATCATAACCTGGTTCATTTTTACAACCGTATCGCTGTTCAGTTGCTTAACAGCTGTGCAACCTTTAGAGAACACATATTAAAAGGACTTAAAATTCACTGTGCATTGAGTCTCGCAGTTATCTCGCAATTAATCTAGCAGTTAATCTAGCAGTTATCTGGATGTGTTTCAGTAGTGTCTCCGTACTATCCTACAAAAGATAGCGTTTAATTAGGCCGACACGAAAAACACGAAAAACACGAAAAACACGAAAAAATCTCATGTTGTTGTTTTGCATGTCAGGCAAAATGTGCGAAAAGATGTTAGTAATAATGAATTCAAGGCAATTGTTCTGCTCTTCAAGCCTCTTGTTTGGAGATACATTTTTTTCTTTTTTTAGACGTTGATACTGAGGTAATATTTGAAATGTTCTTGTCCGGAAACTAGCATAGATTTGAATATTGCTCTACTACAATCTTAAAGAATTGAAAGGATGGAAAAGCGAGGTGATAAAAAGCAGGAAGATTTTTTTCTAAATCTATATTTAAATTTATACCGCTCCACCTTAAGCACGTGCATTTGATGTGCTACTAGTATCAACAACTGATGCAGCAGAAACAACAAACTCGAGTTCTGCATGTGGAAAAAGCGAAAAATTTCAAATTTCAAATTGAGCTCAAGAAAACTTTCTTCGTTCAGCATCCACTTTTGGTCTTGTGACCAATTGTTTTGTAAGTTATAAATTTTGTAAAATTCAAAATACCTTCGAGTTGACAAAACAAGCCGACAACGCAATTATTCGGTCAGTCAGATCGATTCGCTCATTTTCTTTTGCGCTAATTTAGTTCTTTCTAATTCGAGCTGCCATCACTATTTAGATACGATCTTTGAGCAAAATATGCGACATTTGCGATAAAAATTTCAGGGAAAAATTAAAGCACGCGGTTTGAAATAGTTAAGGCTAAAGACTTCAGAAGACTGCAGGAACATTGAAATGCTCAGTTTAAAATAGTTTTCAACAGTAAACAAAGGAAACTCGGGAATGGAAATAATTATTATTATTATGTCTAACAGTGTGCAATTGTTTCGATGTTTTCTACATTTGACATTAGTCGCTGGAATTTGTTATGAACTTAAATTAAAACGGAGAAGTTTATTTCGCCGCCGTTAAAACATAAGCATAAGCATAGTAAAAATTGTAGCTTTGAACGTCAAAGTTCATGTTTTCGCTTTCGTGTATCTTAACTACTTTTTGTACAATCTGATCAAACCTAATAGTTCTAATTCTTCTTTGTTTATTTCTTTCAGAGTGCCTGGGTTCGTTCTTCAGCGTCATAAAGCCAGAATTAATCGAAGAGGGACAAGCAATGACAAACAATTAATTTTTCCAAAAGGTAGACGTTACATTAGTTAAAAACCGCTGTCGCTAGGGACAATTCGATAATTCTTCATCAAACTGTTGAAAATTAAGCATTGAAACAATTTCTGGAAGATTAAATGCAAACTACAGAGAATTTCCTGGATGAAATTTAATTCTACCAAACCTTTTGATGAATAAATACTCAGTTTTTCTACCAGTTGTAGTTTTTTTGGTTGCTTAATCTGAAATGAAATTTTTTGCTCAGGTCTTTCACGTACAAACTACGTTTAAAAATTTTCAATTTTCCCGCCAAAAGACTTAGAAAAAATACGGGCGCCAAAATACGCATGCGCCAATTTTTTTTTGAAAAAAAAACTTCTTGTTAACATCTGTTTAAAATTTTTTAATTTTCCCGCCAAAAAACTTAGAAAAAATACGGGCGCCAAAATACGCATGCGCCAATTTTTTTTGAAAAAAAACTTCTTGTTAACAACAGTTCAAAATTTTTTAATTTTCCCGCCAAAAGACCAAATACGGCGCCTAAAATACGCATGCGCCAAATTTTTAAAAAAAATGTAAGTTAATTATAAATTATACTTAACTTAATAGTCAATAAATGCAATATTTATTCCAGTGTGTATTTCTTTATTGAGTAAATAAAATATTTCAAACAATAAAGTACTCACAACAAGTGTTTCATTTCAATTGTTTTATTCATCATTAATTTTCTACTTGCAATAGTTAATTAGTTAAGTGAAATTCAATTAAATTGATTACAAACGTGTCATCAAAAAAATTTGCCCTATATATACTAAGACTTTTGGCGGGAAAATTGGAAAAAATTTGCACAGCGTTTCCCCTGACAACTTTTTTGACAAAAATTTTAAGCAGGTACCCCCTTGAATTTTTCCCGCCAAAAAATGTTCAACATATACCATCTTGAACACAAACTAACGAAAAAAATTTGATTCCAATCATCCGAGTCTTTCAAAAAAACTAAGATTTTGAATCCAGTTAATATTTGTTTGTGTTCAAGATGGTATATTCCATGATGATATCTTGTTAAATAGTCAGCCTTAAAACGATGAGCAGCTAAAAACCTATTTGCGGAAATGAGAAGAGCAAGTTAAAATTTGCACAACTGCAATGTTTCTGCACAACATTGAGAGGGTGAAAACATTTTTAAATCGAAATATTTAAGAGAGTTTGTATAGCCGGGAAGCTTGAGCCCCAACTAAATAAACTCTCTCAACTATAGCGATTCCAAAATGTCGCCGTCTTCTCAATGTTGTGCAGAAACGTTGTAGTCGTACAAATTTTAACTTGCTCTTCCCATTTCTGTAAATAGGTTTCCAGCTGCCCGTCATTCACAGCTTAACTATTTAACGTGATATCATCATGCAATATATTTCAAGAAGATAG